TATGGCTTAACATATGATCTATCCTAAAGAATACATATTAAAAAGAATATGTATTTTTCTGTCATTGGATGGAATGTTCTATAAATACCAATTAGATCTTATCGGTTAATGGGAGTGTTCAAGTTTTCTATAATCTTGCTATTTTCTGGATGGTTGTTCTATCAGTTACTAAGAGTGAGTATTAAAATCTCCAACTAAAATTGTTGAAATATCTATTCATCCTTTCAGATCTGCCAGTTTTTACTTCATATACTTCGGAGCTCTATTTTTAGGTGTGTATACATTTATAACTTATATCTTCCTAGTGTAGCATCATAAAATGTTACTCTTTTTCTTTAGTAACGTTTCTTGTCTTAAAGTCTATTCTGTCTGATTTTAATATAACTACTCTAGCTCTCTTATGGCTGCTATTTGCATGGTGTATCTTTCTCCACCCTTTGACCCTTATTTTTTTTGTCTTTGAATCTATTACAAAACGTGCTTCTTGCAGATAGCATGTATACTGATCCTGCTTTTTATCCATTCTGATAATTTCTGCCTTTTGGTTATAGTGTCTCACACTTTTTAAAATATATTTTAAAATTATTTTCTTAGTGATTGCTATGAAGATTACAATATAAATCTTATCACAATCTATTTTAGGTTGATACCGACAATTTTGGTAAAATACAGCAACTTTGTCCTAATATTCACTTTCCTTTGTGCTATTATCTGTCATATCCATGTATATTATAAAGCCAGCAATATGATGTTACAATTATTATGTTTTTAAAAAAAATAAGAAAAAAACTGTTTTATGTAGTAGTCTTTTATATTTATCCACATATTGACATTTGTTTGCTCTTCTTTTATTCCTGTGGACTTTCACATTGCCTTTCACTGAAAGACTTCCTTAAGTATTTCTTTAAGGCAGGTGTGCTAGCAACAAATTCTCTCAGTCTTTATCTTGGAATATTTTTATTTCACCGTTGTTTTTGAGAGGTTTAATGAATATAGAATTATTGATTGATAATTTGTTCTTTGAATGTGTTGGTACAATTCATGTTAACCTACAAGGTTCTGAGACTTTATTCATTTTTCTTTAATCTTTTTTCTTTCTCTTCTCCAAATTGGATAATTTCTATTCATCTATCTTTACACTCACTGATTTTTCTGCCATCTCAAATCTACTGTTGAGCCCATTGAATAAATTTTTTATTTTGATTATTGGACTTCCAATTCTAGAATTTCTATTTTGTTCTTTTTTAAAGTTTCTATCCTTCTATTGAAATTTCTTATTTGCTGAGTCATTAAAATCATATTTTCCTTTAGTTTTTAAAACATATTTATAATAATACGTTTATACGTAATAATACTTACTTTGAAGTTTTTTCTGCTAAACCCAACATCTGAGCCTACTCAAAGTCAGTTTCTAATAATTGCCTTTTTTCCCAATCCTGAGTTACATTTTCCTGTTTCTTTCTATGTCTTGTAATTTTTTGTTGAACACTGAACATTTTAAATAATATATTAGAGCAACTCTGGATTCTGATTTTTACCTTCTGAATGATTTCACCCCTGCCCTTTTATTAGTAACTTGCCTGAACTTAATCTGCAGAATCTGTCTCCCCTATGGTGTGCAGCACATATCTCTGCTCAGTTGTTTTGTTCTTAATTTTTTTTTTTTTTTTTTTTTATATAGTTTCACACTGTGGTCCCCCTTAGTTGCCCAGGTTGGGTTACTTTCTGTGGCACATCACAATCCCATGGAGAAATGGTTCATTGTTGTTGTATATGTAAGAGAAGACGATACTTCAAAATGACGATTTTTTTTTTTTTTAT